ACAATTCCCAGGCAAAAGTCTCTATTTTTTTTTGTAATGTTTGGGGATGCGCCTTTTTCCTCCTTTTTTCCCCGGGGCTTCCCTCTGGAGACGAGAGCACTGTTTTCACCCCCCTTCGTCCATTCCAGTCCATCACAGCTGCAATCATAAAGTGATTCTCAGCAGCTCACAAAAGACAACGTAATAATAAATAATAAAAAATACTATACATCCAGACTTCAAAACAGTACCTGGATTCAGCACCCAAAGACCCTTTGAGGTTGTCTCAAAAGCATGGAAAGCTCCATCTTCAGCCCTTTCTGGAAGGTGAATTATGTTGGAGCCACTCATACCTCCCATGGAAGGCCATTCCAGGGGGCCAGCCCCATTATGGAAAAACAGTGGTAGCCCCATGTAGAGTGTATTGCGTTAGTCTAGATGAGTGGTGATGAGTGCGTGAGCCACTGTAATCAGGTCATTTTGCCTGAAGTAAGGCCACCACTGGCACACCAGCCAAAGCTGGGCATAGGCACCCCGGCCATGGTCTCTACCTGCAGATCCAGCTGGAGCTGTGAGTCCAGGAGGACCCCAGTTTGTGGGGCAGTGCAGCCCCATCCACGGGGTGTAGAGGATCCCCAATGTACAATTCATAGCTCAGTCTTACTGTGGTTCAATTTGAACCTGTTTTCTCCAATCCAGACCCTAACAATCTCCATGGTAGACTTCAACACCATTTAGATTTTCCTGTCCAAATATAAGTGCTTGCATTACTGATTTCTTTCTTAGAATGGACCTGTGAACTTGAAACAAAACACAGTCTTGGCAAGCAAAATTTCCTCTCAGAATCTCCTCCTGTCTCGGTTTTGGAAAATGACATGGTACCTATAAAAGAACCAGGTCCATTAACTGTAGAACTTTATAGAATTATTCCTGCTAATCTTCAATTATTCTGTGTTTAAAAACAAAACAAGACAATTGTTAGATTAAATTGGTGACAGCTCTTAATGAAAAGAATTGTCAACTTTTATAGGGCTAATATAGTTGGAAATCTTTAATATTTAAAGGGCACTTGAATCTTGAGTTAATACATTGCAAGAATATTTCCATGTAAAAGTGCATTACACTTAATTCTCAAGTGACGAATCTATAGCTTATTTTTTTTGCATACTTACAGTTGATAATAATTATCTTTTTTTAGAGATCTGCAATTCAAAACCACACAAGTATGGTACTAATATAATTTTTTAAAATACCATTTTCTCCAGTTGTGTCATATTAGATATTTCTAAAGCAACTTCCTGTGCGTAAACAGAAATAGCTTTGATTGATTACCTGCCATCAAGTCAGTGTCAAGTCTTAGCAACCATATATATATAGATCTTCTCCAGGATGATCTATCCCTAACTTAATCTTTCAGATCCTCCAGTGATACACCCATCACTACTGAAGTTAAATCCATCAACTTTGCTGTTATTCATCCTCTTTTCCTCTACCTTTCCCAGCATTAATAGACTTTTCACTCTTGTCCTTACAAAATGTTTGCTATGGATCCAGTCTGGCATTCTTCAACAACAGTGTGGTTGCTGATACGGTCTGGTATTGGGATCTGCACAGCATCTACTTTAGACTGCTGCTGGAACATCCCCTCCACTCTAGGACTCTGGGAACCGACATGGCCATTTCAGCTTGGGCTACAGGACAGTCCAGACACCTGGCTTCTACTGAAGCATGTCCCTAACAGGTGTTTTGTATTGCACTTCTTCAGTATTACACTGGCTTCTTATAAACACAGACTTTTGAGTCCTTTTCACTAGACTTGTATTTAAAAAAATAGGATTAGTGCTCTCTTGAAAGAGCATTAGACCTGTTCTGCACAGTAGGTTAATATCAGTTGGGAAAGAGAGTCAGATTCTGCCAGCTGTATTGCCAATTATAGGTTTTACGTTGCTGCCACTAGCAAGGGGTTTTGCTTGCCCGCATTTTTTATTGTTTTCATTACTTTTATCATTTCTGAGGATTCTTTGATGACTGCTACAAAGTTGTATCTGCAGTTCATGTGGTTGTTCGTGGTTACTTATGTTTCTATTGGTGTACCATTTTGCCCACTCAATTCTGGCTTTGGTGGCACAAGGTATTATATTGATGACTGTTGTTACATGCAGGCAAATATTATTTGTGTTCTCCATAGCCATGCACCAACTATTTCCAGGTGCTGCTGACCACAAAATCAGAACTGGGCTCCTTTGGTGCTAACTGCCAGTGCTAAGATTTCTTTGCAGCATTAGTTGATGGTTTATTTCATTTGTTGTCCACCATTCCATTTCACCTCATGCCCCTCTTTACACCTGTCCTCTGGACTATTTTTAAACATGGATGTAAGTGTTCCTTCAAAGATCACTTGACAGTCATAGTGTGGAGAAGAGGTTGCATCAAATAAAATCATTGTGAAAGTTCCCTCTTTTTTCCACCCACATCTCCCATTAGCATCTGCCACCTGTTAGTTGAGCAACTTGACAGATGGCTAAATCCACCATTCCAAGCACCACCATCCAATCCTATCCTGCCCTACAACATTTTAAGGAAAGCTATTGGTTTTTCCTATTGGCACATGATGCTTGGCAGAAGGGGACAGAAAGCCAGGTGAATCCACTAATCACTTTCCATAAGAGATTACATCAGTAAGGACAGCACTATTCATTGGCCTGTTCCTCTAGCAGAATAGGGATTAGCTATGCAGACGGAAAATTTATGCTGGCATATTTTTCTGATGGCTCACAGAGTGCTGGATAGCACTTAAACATGATATCTGGCAGAGTCTGAGTCTTTCCTAAGTCTCTAAAAGTTATCTCCTGCTTGCCTTTTCTAAAAAAGACATCTGATTTTTTCCCCTGGCCTGATTATAATTTTTCATAGTGATAAAATAGGTAAAAGTGTTCAAAGTATTTAAAAATTGCAGGTCTCTAATACTCAGTTTAGGTTGCCACTTCCTATCCCTACCCAATATATTGCTAAATGTGAAGTATGAGAACATCTTTACGTAGGGCCTAGCTGTAAGAATCTTTCATTTGAATTGTTTTACCATGTTAATTCTGCAATTATTTAGCCTGACTTTGAACTAATGAGAGTCTCATATAAAGAGATGGCCATTAATTAAAACAGGCTTCTCCAACCTAACATCTCCAGATATGTTAAGACTGCAACCATTCAAAATTCCCAGCAAGCGATTCCATTTGGAGAATGCAAGCTTGGAGAAGATTGAGTTAAAAAACAAACAAGCACAAAATGACCTTTCATTCTACTAACGAAAACAAGCAAGAGGAATGAAATTCCATTGTGGGTAGCTTCTTGCAAGACAGCTGTAGGAGAGTTCCTTCCTTCTTGAATTATGTTGAGGAAGATGAATCATAATAAATGGAACAGATAGAATGAGATTCTGGAGTAGGAGACAGTTGGCTGATGTGTCTTTCAGACAAAATTGTCATAAGGCCATTAGGTATAATTGTCAAGAAGAGATATAAACTAGAAATGTGATTCTCTGAAATCTATATCTTTTCTAGTTAATATTCAATATTAATACTTTTTGATGACACTCAAAACATCTCTTTCCTTCCTAGGCAACAGAGTGGCTTCAGTTTCAGATCAAGACAATGGGAAGCATGACCTTAAAACTGAGGATGGTGTTAAAAGCAATCAGTTAATAAGGCCTAATCGTCAAATAACCAAAGTTCAGTTGCGTTCTCAGAGGACAAAGCCATTTCTTCGTCCTGTGAGTTTACCTTTAGGACCAATGCTTCCTCCCTGTATTTTAAATGAGCGGAACTCCCAAAATGCAAGTCTGAGTCCAGAGAAACTTGGGAAAAGTCCTGTTATTGAAGAGGTTTCTGAGACACAGTCACTCCCCACTGTTAATGCTGGTTGTAGACTCTCTTGTTATGACCCACAGATTCAGAAAAAAACTTGGGACAAGCAATATAAGCAGTATGATATGACTTCAAGGACAGCAATGATTGTGACCAATATATCCCAGGAAAACCTAACACAAGAGTCTGTAAATACGTGTGCCTTAAGTACATCTAGTAACCTTGTTAACAATTCAGTAAATGCCATACTTCCTGGTAAGCCATATACAGGACCTGTTAGGGCTGCAAGGACTACAGTAGAAGCTCATTCCACAGTCCCTAATCCTGTTGCTACTTTCAGAATGCCAAGAACTTTACAACCACCACCAGGAACATTTTATAAACCACCACCCAACAATAAGGCCAAACCAAATGATGAGAGTTCTACACCCAAACCCTATGCAGCAATAATCCAAGATGAGGTTCCAGGGCTAGGTGTGAATCCTGGCCTTGCTCATGGCACTTTGGATTCTTCTAGCCACCATGGAAAGCAACACAAAGCTAGTTCTGAAGCCCTTTCCCCTGCAGACCTGAAGCCCACTTATCAGAGATTAAGGCCAAAGCGGATGCAAGAACTGGAACATAGGGAAGCTCATTTTGTATAGGGCAATAAAAACTTCTGGGACTCTTTTTTTTTTCTTGAGGATTTCACCTTTGTGCCATATTGAAATTATTTTTTATAAATACCTGTACAGACATTTTAAAACATGGAATGAAAAAAGCTGTGAAGAATAATGAAGTTAATTTTTTTATTATTATTATTATTATTATTACATTTCTCTCAAGAGTATTTAAATGCATTCCAAATGTAAAAGCAGCTAATATGAAGTGCACTCAAAGAAACCTTATAATCTACTTCATTTGTGGAATTGTACTTTTTCTCATGGAAGCCTACTTATGTTAGAGTGCAGCAGTGAAAAGAGCCCGTATCCAAGAATAAATGGTTTATTAAGACTGCAGAGTATGAAATATAGATACTTAATTTAAGAATAAACCAAAGCTTGAAGCATTGCTCTAAGTGTCTGTATTTAGTTTTTTCTCTACTCTGGACAATTAAATGCTCCTTGGTTAACATGATCTTTATATACTTGCATGTCATATGTTTTATATAGCATTTTTTGACAAGTTATGTTGTCACTTGTTACTTGTACAGAAAAGATTGAACTTTACTATAAAACTATTTTAAAAACTTTTATAGCAGTTATTGTATAGTTTAAATGCACAAAAATTAACTAGTTCAGTTGCCATTCAGTAAAAAAAATCCTGTAGAAGTGGTGCAGACATCCCTAATTATTATGAAGTTAGAGTTTTCTCATCACAGAAAAGAGCTTTTTTATTGCTTTAAGAGAAATTTAAATCTTAGGCATAGTGAAATAGATAAAAATAACCCACTGTTTATTAACTTCATCAAATAGTGTTTCACTGTATATAAAATTGCTTTTATATGTATACTATTTGCCTTAAAAATATACATTAATATCCACATATTCTGTAATGCACTTCATCTTATTCAATACAGACTTTTTTATATTGTTAATATAATATGATATGAATTACACTACTATTTTTTAAAAACCATACAGAAGGGTTTGTGTTTATCCTACATTAAAATAATATTATGAACATTTTTGAAATAAAACAAGATGATGGTTGAGGAAATTAATAGCTATAGGTGGTATAGCTTACCTCAAAGGAATAGTGAAGTAGTGTATTTACAGAAGTTACAGCTATTGGGCTTTTTCTTTTTCTTCCACTGAGTTCCAGTTCACTGTAACGAATCACAAACAGAAATACTGGATGTGAAAGCATAATTTGACACTAATAGTCAACTTGTCTGGAAAAGGCTGGGGAGTTTTTAGACATGCTGATTAATGTGGAATCTTACCAGAAAAAAGAACTCTTTAAGATGAGAATGAATGGCTTATTATTCTTGTGAACATAGCTCCACTTCCATGAAGCAACTGTTTGTGCCACCTTTACGATATTTGGTAGAAAGCACAAAAAGTTTTGCATTAGTTCTCTTGATCTATTCACCTGAGAACATGAGAGTTTGAAAATGGATAAAAAATTGGGCTGCTTACACTGGCTCCATCTCATATCTTTTCCAGTCTTTACTTACTCAACTGGAAATTCTGAAGGATTGCTTTATTGAAGTTTCCTGGAAGGCTTCTGTGCTGCTGTATCAGAAAAAAAAAATTCTATTTCATGGAAATGTAATGCTGCAGTTTAAAAGGCCAGAACTCTAATCCACCATTTATTCCTTCAGAGATGGACAGGAAGGTAGTGTCCCAAGCAGGATCTGTCAGCCAGCCATCATTTGTTTCCTGCAAACAATTCCAAATAACTTACTCTTAAACAAAAATATGCTGTAATATAAACAACAAATAAATTAACATAAATGGTGTCAGGAGGACTGTTGCAATGTTGCAAAGAAATACAGATGCTTGAGACTTGTACCAGACTTTTCACAGATGCAACAAATCATATCAGATATATTTTAATTTATTTATTATTTAAATTAGAGCCACTCAGTTCCAAATTGCACCTAGCCACTCTCTTCTGTCAGAATGTATGTGGTAACAAGCACTTCTGTTCATAAAAACAAAATAAATTGATGCTTCAGTCACATGAGATTGGAGCCACTTCACACACAGTGTTAGAAATTTAAGTCTTTCCCTTTATACTGATGATTCATCATACCACTGATGTAGGATGAAGATGCTGCAGAAGCAGTGAAGATGCTGCAGGAGTGACTTTGTTTTTGTGGTAAATAGTCTGGAAGCTAGAAAAGATAATTAAGCATCCCCATCTAGATTAAGAAGACATGCTGGGTCATATTTAAAGTACAGTAAGGTTTAATAAATCATGGTTACAGATTGTAGTTGAAGGTAGAGCATTTTTTCCATAATATGGGTCCTCCAGACAATCCATTAAACCTAATCCCAATACAGGTAGTCCTCACTTAGCAACTGCCCTGTTTAGTGACTGTTCCAAGTTACAACAGTGCTGAAAAAGCAACAGCAACCAGTCCTCACATTTGCGACCTTCACAGCATCTCTCTGCTCTTAGTTTCACTTGCTTATTTACCCCATACCAAGATGTTCTCAAAGAGAAAGAACCCCAGTAAAATGATAAGCACAGTCTCAGTCAAGAGATTTTCACTTGGCAACTGCTTCATTTAATGACTGAGTTGCTGGTCCCAAATGCAGTTGTTAACAAGGACTACCTGTATGTAGAAATGTCAGTTCCCTTTATCAATTTTGGCATCACATTTTAAATTGAAGTTGTCAGATACTGTCCAAGGGCAACTCCATAATGCATTTCTATTAACCTAAACATCTATCTGCCAAATTAAAACAGATTTCCTGAAGAACCATATATTCAAATACCGTCCTTAAGTATTTCAAAAAGAATATCACAGTCAATAGTACTGAAGGACAGAAGATGCTCTGTGAGAATAAGGATTCATTCATTCTTCCACTGTGATTACCTACCTCAGCAACTAAACCCATATAGGTTATAACTGAAATGGCAGAAAATTAGCATCTAGTATTAGATATGTACCAAATATTTGCCTCAAAAATTATTTGCGTTCCTCAAACTTTTAAGAAAGCCTAAAGGGATTCCCTGAAGTTCTTAAATTTAATGCTCAGAGACTATAACACAGCCTTCCTCTTTCTACTACTTCTCTCATTCCTATAAAAGAGAAAGGAAAACATAACAAGTAAAGGCAGATCTAGCAATAACATGAATTATGACGGACTTCACTGAGAAGTGTAATTACCTGCCTCAGAAGAAACCCACTGTACTCCAATCATTTTTCTATGCCTTTACAAAGAAGATTTTTTTAAAAAAACTGGATAAGGAGGAATAACAGGAGAAGGGAGCACAAGCAGAATTGCTTGAAATAACTTGCTTAAAGTGAGTTAGGCCAGGATATTTGAGGGTCCATCTATCTCCAATTATTTTTGTCCACCTTATGAGATCAGGCAGGGATGGCATGCTCTGGGTACTGTTTATTAAACCTTGCCATCATAGGGTTCCCAGAAGGTGTGTTGTCTCTGTTGTTGCCCCTACCTTGCCCTCCTCATGATTTGGATCACCCCAGCCCTGCTGGCTTTTAGAAAGGCCATGAAGACCTGCTTCTTCCCTCCAGGGCTGGGCAAGGATATTATGTGTGCTGTTAGTATGTGTTATGTGAGCTATTAAATCTGTGTTTACATATGGCTTTTTTATGATGGATGTATTTCTCTGTGTTTTAACTTGTTAGCTGCCCAGAATTGCTTTGCAAGTAGGCAGTCATAAGAAACAAGCAAGTGAGGGTTGCATGGTTTAATCTCTCTGTTCTGAATTCTCTAATATTTTTATGAACATTTGGAATTATGCTGCTGTCACATCCTGGAAAAACAAATGTTTACAGAAGTTGGTTTTGAAAGATAAGTTTATAGACTCACATGCTGGTTGTCGAATATGATAAGCATATACAGGTAGGCCTCTGGTTACAAAGGCAATTGGGACTGGAATTGCTGTGTCACTTAGCGAGAGCAGTTCTGGCAGTCCTGGTTGCTGTCATTAAGGGAGGACCTCACATGACCATGACTTCCAACTTCCTGCCAGCTTCCCCATTGATTTTGCTTGTGGAAAGTCAGCAGGGAATGTCAGAAATCACGATCACGTGACCATGGGGACACTGAGATGGCTGGAACTCCAAAGACTGGTTGCAAGTCCATCTCATTCAGTGCTGTCACAAGTTTGAACGGTCACTGAACAAGTGGTTATAACCCAAGGACCACCTGTAATGGAAGTAAAGTGTATGTGAAAATAAATGGAATGTGGTTCAATGTTGAGCCAGGAGTAAGAGTATGACATATACCATACCAAAATTCATTTATTAATTTATATGGCTGCCCAACTCACGGTGACTCATGATGAAAATAAATAAATAAATACCAAAATTCCAAAGAACTTTGACATTTGTTCCCTATAATGCCCTGCAAACTGTGGGTCTGGAAGGAAAATTCCAGAAAATCCCATATAATGAACACCTGTGTCACTTTAAGTGAGGAGCCATTGAAACAGCCCACAGCTTCTCTACTGTTAGCCTCACCAAGATCTGTGACACAAATTCATTGCACCTTCATTAGTTCAATATCCAGGCCAAACTGATTCTTTTTATTTCAATTATCTTTGAGTGATCAGAGCAATGTACTCTTTACCGTATTGCCAAATTTTGTTTAATAGCCAGAATGATTCAACAGGATCTCACTAGGAACAGTTTGATTGGGTTCAACTTGCTCCAAGTTTAGTAATAATAAACCCTCCTGTTTATCTGTTTCTTGTTATATTTATGTTGGCCTTTTCCGAAGCGTATTAAAGAGTCTCAGAATTCACAGTGAACTGAGAGAGCTTCACCTATGCTGGCTGTGTTCATCTTTTACTCCGTTTTGTTTTATTTATCTTTTATTTCTATGTTTTATGTTACAGTATGTAAAGCTGGCCAGTGACTGAAATAAAATACTTTGACAAAGTATTTTAACGTCTTCTTGGTTGTTTAATGTTTTCATAGATCAGTGCATAAGGAATACTTGTGCTAACATTTGATGTGTTTTAGCTGGGGATGTGAATGTATGTATACTTTTTCATATAGATGATGCTGTGTTGTTGGATGAGAACCTGAATAATTTGCAGCAAATGTTAAATAGTATGTCTGATGCAGCAAGGAATGTGGATCTGAAAATTAATATATCACACAACAATATAGTTGTGTCTGATAGGGAAAATGGAATCAATGATTGCTATTTATATATACATGATTATATATAAATGGCTAAAAACTAGGGCAACTAGATGAATTTGTGTACCTTGGTAAAATGTTTTACTAAAGATGGGAAAATGAAGAAGTTTTAAGATCTGCAAGTGATGGTAGAAAGGTAGTGGGTAGTATGTGGTCTGCTGCAAAGAATGAATGTTTGTAGAAAGAAGCAAAAACCGCTGTGGATCAGAGAGTGCTTCTGCCCAGTTTGTTATTGGGGAGTGGAAGTTAGGTCAAGAGAAACACTACGTTGAAGGCCACGGAAATGGAGTCCTTAAGAATCGTGTGTGGTAAAACAAGGGAGGGGGTCAAGAATGAATGGGGGCTGAATGCATTCAAAACTGAGTGACCATTACAAAATAAGTACACTGACGTTTGGTTATACAGAGACAGTGAACGGAGATCAACTTGTAAAACAAATATACAGTATGAAAGGAGAGGAAGGAGTAAACCAAAAAAGTTGCGGCTGGGTGATATTGATGAGATCCTCATAAAGACAGAGGTGAGGAGCTTAAAGAACGAAAGGCAATGTACGCGGAGGTATATGTGTGTGGTTTGCAATGATAGATATGAAGAAGTACGGTGACTGTTGCAGATGACATTTGGCTATCTTGTCTTTTTTCTTTTATGCTTTTACTTTCTTTGGCTTACAATTCCTTACTTTTCTCCTGTGCTTTGCGTACCGCTCTCAGATGGATTTGTCAGAATGCATATGCAAGCCTAAACAAAATCAGGGTGTTGTCATCGCTGATCTGCCGTTCCTATTTTGTCACAAGATTGCTAACTGCAGGAATGAGGGTGCATATTTATATGTATATACTGTGCCCAATACTGCTGGCACGATAAAACACAGCTGGTCAGACTGGCATGGTAATTACATGCCGTCTAAGAACATCCTAACATTTGTACATCATTTAAAGATATGCAATATACTTAAACTGCAGCAGCAAGTACTTCCATGGTTTTAGCAAAACAGTGGCTTCCTTCACTTCCTAACCTAATTACTTGTAATGTCTGTTTGATTTTGCTGTGATTTATAGGACTTCAGAAACCATAGCCCTGACAGTTTCAGACATTTAGATCAGTTGATAAAATTTCTTGCAAAGGACTATTATATGCAGCTTATTTCCCTTCATGTCATGGTGCTTACATTCTGAAAACAAAGCTGTCCCACATCAAATTGGAGGGATTAAAAAAAAATCTTCTTACAACTGAGCTGTATTATTTGGTAAGTGTTCACTGTTCCTGAGATAAGGCATTCCTCTGCGGTCATATTGGACTTTCTTTCAGAAACTCTTCCAGCTCTCATAGCAGTGCAATGCTTTTGTGGTAGATACCATTACAAACGAGGTAAGCTGAAGATATTTTCTAGTGTTATTCTTAAACGATGCAATCTTTGCTCTTTTTAAAGACCTTTCGTGTGGGAATGCTGCTAGTTTTGTAATGTGACAAGTATCAGATTGAGTATGTTTGGGTACAAACGTAAGATATTGTAAGCCTCTAGGTAATACTGTAGTGAAATAGAAGATATCTCTACTTAAATTACAGTGATTTATATAAAAACAAGATCACTGTATTTTACATTACATAATACCATACATGCAAGGTACAACCTTTTCAAAACCAGTTCGTAAGATCTATTTTGGCAGCCAAGTAAAATTGTTTTTGCACAGACAAATGTAGTGAGTAAATGCAAAATGCAAGGCATGAGACATCGTTTGTGACAGCTGTATTTAATAGTCATAGCATCTCTATAGAGGAATTGGTCAACAGAATTCTTGAGTTTGGGAATGTAATCTGGGAATCAAAGAATTGTCTTCACCGTCTCATGCCTTGATCTTATTTGGCTGTTCCTCACCAGTCCTTTAAAGCAGATCCCTACCTCTCTTATGGAATGCTTAGAAATTCCACAAATACACATTTATTTCTGGCAAAATATGTCAACTGTACAATGCAAAGAGTATTTCCCAATATTCTTTTTACCTCCAGTAGGCCTTAAACCCTTTTTTCCTTATTTAAATCTTGGTGAAATTTCTCATATCAGTGGATGGCCTGGACCAATTCTCTTTATCCACTGAGACACCTTTAACTAAGTGTGCTAATCATGATGGTCGGTCATTTGAAAATGTATACCATTCTCCTAAAAGAAAAGTAAATGCATATGTTTAATGTATACATATCCTCAGGCATATCTGGCTGGTTA